TATTTTTAATTAACACAGTCGGTAAGGCATGCCCCTTACAATGAGTGGTGATGTGTAAGGCCTTAGCTCAACCTCTTTCTCCAGACGGAATCTCATCATCAGAAAATGAGATGAGATTATCAGCTTGAATGTTGTTTACCAGTCGATCCATCTTGTTGACTGGTATATATTTTGCTACATATGTCTGATTTAGGAATTTCAGGAGTGCCTCCCTATGTGACTCTAAACTTAGTATCAGTGTCAACATTGAAATATGTGTTGATAAGCTATATAATTGGTCTACGGCGTTGTACTCTTTTTGCTTTAAAAATTTCATAAACTCTATAGTTTATTCCTCCTTTATTAGCTCGTTTATTGTCAGCACATTCCCTTTGAAGGGTTCAAGCGGTCTCTTGGGGGACTTAGCCTTTGGAAGTATCGTTTTCCCACGGCATGCCCCACTTTGTTGTCATCTTCTTTCAGGGTGCTTACTAGGTATTCATACTTCCAAGGCACTTTCTTATTGTCCTTGTAGGAAAAAGGTCAGGGTGTTGTGATCACCACCTTTGCTTGTGTTTTCTCGTTTGTCACTTTAGGGGTAATTACCAAAGGACATCCCCTACCATACCCGTTTTCGGATGATTCTTCAATCGTACAAACATCTGCTTCTGGAGAGTTTTGGATTTCTTCATAGAATTCTAACTCCTTCCTATCCATCATGTTCTGGATCAAATCTCTTCATACCCTTCTTCATTATGGTAACAAATAGTGGTTATCATCTCCACTCCTTGATGTATAAAAATGTGTTGCAAGAAACCATGCTTTCACAATTTGTTTCCATACCCAAACCAAATGGGACTTTATTTCAGAAACATCAGTCTTAATTATCCTATCTTTATCTGTAATAACTTCATTAATCCCAATATCTTGATGATTAGGCAAAGGATTTTATGCAACATTTTGTGCTCCTAAGTCGAAGTGGGTCTAATTCTTGTTACGCATTCTTTGCACGATCCTCTTAAATGCGAGGCAATTCTCAATAGTATGCCCCAGCACACTACCATGATATTTGCAGTGAGCGATCTCATTATTCCATCTGGGATATGGGGACTTCATAGGTTCCACCGGGTATGGTGACACTACATGAGTGTCAAAGAGTTATTGATACAATTCCTTGTACGTCATAGCAATAGGATTGAAATACTCATTTTCTATTTCTTTCCTAGGTTCCCTCGGATATTGACTTGAAGTATCTGATGGTACAGCTGCAGTTATTTTTTAGTTGGAGATTGTAACACCTTTGTTGGCATTGTAGGGTGTTGATGTTATTAATTTCTCCATCTTTATTCTTCATAAGAGGCTTCTTCCTTGATTCCCCTTCCTTGATCTTGCCTTGTTTTATGGCCATTTCAATAATTTCCCCGACCATAACTAAGTCAGAGAAATTTCCTGATCTGATTGCAATCAGGTGCCTAAAATAAGGAGCCTTTAGGGTTTGTAAGAAAAGCTTCATAGTTTCCTTCTCATCCAAGGGTGGATGAACTTGCACTACTAAATCATTTCATCTCTATGTATATTGTCTGAAACTCTCATTATACTTCCTCTCCATGCTTTGTAGCGTGACTCGATCTAGTAGTGTTGAATCGGCAGTAAGAAATTTTGTTAGTCTTCTAGAAGTGACTACGGATCCAAACTTGGAGAAGTTGTGCACTCCCTATAAATCTTCCTCTGCCAGTCTTCATACAATGGTTGAGGGAGCGAAATGTTTCAGCTAAAATTTTCGGTGCTGGATTTACTCATTTCAGGAGTTGTTCGAACAGTTCCACCACAGCCACCTCAATGTATCCCAAAGTCTTTGGAAAGATAACCAAACCATAAATGCCCAGCGTAAAAAGGTCAATTACCTTCCATTCATCAGGATGATTTTTCATTAGGCTCTTGATATAGGTCTAAGCAATTCCTTCCCCACTACCTTTATGATGAATACGGTCAGTTACCCATTTCTCATCTACCCCCGCCACTTTTGCTAACTCATTTTTGAAAGACCGACTCTTGATGTGCTTGATGTAAACCTGATCCATTCTGATTTCTTCACAATGCAACAAAGTATTATATTCTTCGATTATGGGTACCATGTCTTCTTGGTTAAATGTGAAGCAGATGTACCCCAGATTCCAGAATTGTGTAGGGCTCGAATTAGGGGCTCATCTGTCTTGACATAGAGTAGAAGTGAAATATCACCATATCGTTGGCAGAACCTCCTTTTCTGGTCATTTTTCTAGCTATCCCAATTACTCTGTAGTTCTTGAACATCATTCTGCTTTAGACTGAAAGAACCATAGTTAACCAGATCTGACACATAGTTCCCTTGCAGACTATCTCCCTTTTCTTTCTGAGTCTTTTCAGACCATAGTCGTACCTCGGTGTTTTTCACCTCTTGCATTACAACCTCTTTGTCCATTAATAAGGATTATTTGTGTGTAACAAACACTTTTTGTGGATCAGTTACCTCTTTTTATGATGCAAATGATAAAAAATAAAATATGAAAGAAAAATCAGCTAGTAAGATAGAAATAGTATAATAAGTAAAAAACTATGAGGAAGTAAAACATCCTATGTTTTGAAATGGAGTTTCGAGGTGGGCTCTAATTCCCTGTAGTCTCCCGGTTTAGGTTCTAAAGAAGGTAACTGAGTTCTCCTTGCTGGTGCCCCCTTGGGCTTGCCAGACCCTCAGTCCTAAGCCTATTATAAACTTATGCAGACCAAGTTAAACTCGAGAGGATACATTCCCTTATGTCTATACGGTGAATAAATTTACATGAAGACATAAGGTATATGAATCCCGAAGCTTACTTACTAGGCCTATACGCAGAATAAATTCCCACGAAGGCGCCGCTTTTACCTCCACTTAAAAAAAGGATGGGAGCTCGGCCTGAGATGAAAATGTTTAATAATATGAAACCATTAAAAACGTCAGTATAACTATTTATTTGAAAAATAATCAAAGGTAAATAATAAGGATCAGAAAATTTACTTAAAATTTAACCTTACAATTTTCAACTAATAAGACAACCGGAAATTAGCCATAACCTGACTCACTTACCTATCCCCGGTAGAGTCACCAAGCTGCCACAGCCGTCTTTCGGGTTGGGCCCAAAATTCAGCTTTGACTTGAACAAATGGGTTAGAGTCGCCACCGATCATTTTTTTAAAACATAAAAACTATATTGATTGGACACCTTCTTACCTGATCTACGTTTTACTAGAAATATGTCGGGTTCGGGAGTCGGTTACACTCAAGGAAGGATTATCACCCTTGTACTTCCCTTTCGGTACTAATTTAATTTCCAGATGTCTCAATTAAGAAAATTGTAAGTTAAATTAAAAAGTAAAAAATTCGATCCAACTTACTTTTAATTGATTTAAGAGTACCCCTAAAAAGTCAAAAAATGTTAAAAATAAAGTACTAAATTGATCAAAATATATATATATATGCCAAGAAATAAAAATTAAAAAAATTAAAAATTGAAATAAATAGAATAAAAACAAATCATACATATTGAAAATACAAAGTAAATAAAAATAATGTAAAGAAACAAGTCAATTAAATTAAAAATAAAAAATGTCAATTGCAAAATATAAATAAAGACAAATATCATTAAAATAAAAATAAAAATAAAAGAATAATAAAAATAAAAATAAAAGAACGATTATTATCGGATCAATGACTCATAAAGCGTGGTAGTCTTTTAAATATAATTAATTAAAACATGAAATAAATAAAGAAATTACCAAATTGAAAAATAAAATACAGTGAGGGGTGAATTTAAAAGTAAAATCGGAATTAAAATCGAATTTGAGGCGCAAAACAAGTTTTAAAAATAAATAAGGGACCAGTTCTGCAAATAGCCCCTACCCGATCAAAAACACGCGGATCTTGGAGTGAAAAGGGTCGGTTTTCGGTTAGCCATAAAGCCCAAGTTTCATAAACAGATTTTATTTTTCTTCTCCCCCTCAAAATAGATCAAAACCAAAAACCCAAAATACTCTGAATTGTTCTTCGTGTTCTTAATAACACGAAGAACATTCAACCCAAAAACCTAGATTCCGACCGGCACCGCCTCGTCGGTTGTCGTAGATCAGCGTCGACCACCGTTCATCAACAGTGAATCCCCCCCCAAAAAAACTTATTTTTAGAAAGCTTTTTCTCTCATTTCTTCAAAAATCTTATTTGTTTTCGCAAAAAAAAAAGCCTCGGGAAGGCTAGATCTGAAAAAGATATTTCGAAAAAAAATTCCCCTTTCGACCATTGGCTTCTTTTTACAAATCCGAAATAAAATCAGACTAAACACCAAACACAAACACATGTAAACAAGTAGAGAATGTGTTATGGTTTTAGGTGAGTAGAAGAGAAATCGAGAAATAGGGAATAAGAATAGAGAAGAATTGAGAGTTTTCAGAGAAGGAAATGGTTGCTCATTCATAACATGAGGAAAAATACATCATCACAGTTTGTTTTATTTAGTTACAATACCATAATCCTAAGGATGCCAGCTGGCAATCCTTTGTAACAGAATCTAACAAATTCTTTCTTTCTCATTTGTTTTGCAGATATATGCTATTGGGCTGCTCTTGCTGCTTCAGATCCGTTCCACTTCTGATCCGCTCTAAAGGTAACTTGTCTTCATTTCCCTCTCGTGCCATAATTCCCAATCTATCATTCTCAATCCCTAACCCTCGTCTCATTTCCCCCAATTCTCCTTCATCCTCTTCGCGTTCACGCCCTTCTCCTCCCACCATGACAATACCCACCCCTCGAGAGGATCCTTGTCCCCAAGGATCAAAAGACGGAAATTGGCCGTGGAGCACTGAATAATCTTCCCAGGTGTCATGTGAGGCGTCCAGGTTAGTCCATCGAACGAGTAACTGAGTAACTGGCCTGTTGTTTCGATTTATAATTCTCCTTCCCAAAATTTGACTGGGTTCTATGCGAAACTGACCTTCTTCATCGACCACAGGAGGCTCTGTCGAAGATGTTGCGACTGGCCCAATATGCCTCTTCAACATACTGACGTGAAAGACTGGATGCAATCGAGAATTTTCAGGTAATTCTAACTTATACGCGACCTCTCCGATTCGTTCTGTAATTTTGTACGGCCCATAAAACTTGGCTGCTAACTTTAAATTCTTTCGTAGTGCAAGGGATGTTTGACGATAAGGTTGCAACTTCAGGTAAACCTTATCCCCTACTGCAAAACTTCTTTCTGAACGCTTTTTATCTTCCTGTTGCTTCATTCGGTTTGCAGCCTGTTCTAATTGTTGCTTCACCACTTGTCTGATTTCTTCCATGCTTTTCATTAGTTCAGCCACAGAATAAACTGTAGCATCTGGTTGCCAAACCATTGTAGGAGGCTTATAACCATATAGAGCCTGAAAAGGTGTTAGGTTTAAGGCTGTGTGATAGGTAGTATTATACCACCACTCAGCATGAGCCAACCACTTAGCCCACTGTTTAGGTTGCAAAAAACAGAGGCCTCTTAAATACTGCTCAAGACATTGATTAACCCTCTCTGTCTGACCATCTGTTTCAGGACGGTAAGTAGTACTGAATAAAGTTGTAGTACCCAACTGCTTCATTAGCTCTCTCCAAAAGAGACTAGTAAATGTTTTATCTCTATCCGAAATAGCCATTTTAGGTTGACCATGGAGCTTGTAGACATTGTCTAGATATAGCTTAGCAACCTCAACTGCAGTGTAGGGATGAGACAATGCCATAAAATGGCTATATTTGGTAAACTTGTCTACTATCACCAATATACAATTTTTCCTTAAGGAAGTAGGTAAGCCTTCAATAAAATCCATAGTAATCACCTCCCAAGCCTGTTGAGGAATAGGAAGGGGCTGTAGTAGTCCTGGTTTAGGTATATGCTCCACCTTAATTTGTTGACAAAATGTACAAGATTTAATATAAGTGACTACCATAGCCTTAAGCCTAGGCCAATAAAAATAGGATTTAATCCTTTGATAAGTAGCTTGAGTCCCAGAATGACCTCCATGAGGGGAGTCATGTAAAATTTGAAGAATTTGTAGTCTAAGAAACCCAGTAGAACCAATGTAAACTCTGCCTTTAAATCTGAGTATTCCTTTTGAAAATTTCCAATTAAGATCAGCAGTAGGTGTCACAGTCAAAATATTGATCCAGTCAGCAGCTAATTTATCATCCTTATAGCTGTTTTCGACATCATGTACCCAGCTAGGAATAAGCAAAGTAGTTCCCATAGCTAGACATTTACCAGCATCTTCCCATTGCCTTGACAAAGCATCTGCTACAGTATTTGACTTACCTTTTCTGTACTGTATAGAATAGTCCAGTCCCAGTAATTTAGTTAACCCTTTCTTTTGGATTGTGGTTGTCAGTTTCTGCTCCAGTAGATACTTGAGAGGCTCATGATCAGTTTTAATAATAAAAGGCTTGCTCTCTAAGTAGTGCCTCCACTTAGAAACTGCTAATAAAATAGCAAGATACTCCCTTTCATAGATAGAGAGGGCAGTATGTCTAGGACTTAGAGCCTTACTTAGATAAGCAATAGGTCTTCCCTCTTGAGATAGCACAGCACCAATTCCTCCTGAACTCGCATCTGTTTCCAAACAGAAACTTTTACTGAAATCAGGTAAAGCTAAAACATGAGCAACACACATAGCCTGTTTTAAATTCTCAAAAGCAGTCAAAGCTGTAGTAGTCCACTGAAAATTGTCCTAAGTAAACAATTGAGTCAAAGGCTTACTTATGGACCCATAATTTTCAATAAACCTCCTGTAATAACCCGTTAACCCCAAAAATCCACACAGGGATTTTAAAGATTTAGGAAGAGGCCAATTCCTCATAGCTTCTACTTTTGTAGGATCTGTAGCTACTCCAGCTGCTGAAATAATATGCCCCAAATATTCCACCTGAGTCTGTCCAAAGAAACATTTGGACAGCTTTGCAAATAACTGATTAACTTGCAAAACCTCCAAAACTAGTTGTAAATGAGTAATATGTTCTGTCATAGAATTGCTGTAAACTAAAATATCATCAAAGAACACCAAAACAAACTTTCTAAGAAATGATTTAAACAAATCATTCATTAATGCTTGAAATGTGGCAGGAGCATTAGTTAGACCAAAAGGCATTACCTTAAATTCATAATGCCCTTGATGAGTTCTAAATGTTGTTTTGTAGATATCCTCTTTTTTAATTCTGATTTTCCAATAGCCTGACCTTAAGTCAATCTTGGAAAAAAAAACTGCACCATGTAGCTCATCCAATAGATCCTCCACAACCGGAATAGGGAACTTATCCTTCACTGTCAGATTATTTAATTGCCTATAATCAACACAAAACCGCCAAGTGCCATCCTTCTTCTTAATTAAAAGACATGGAGAAGCAAAGGGACTCTTGCTAGGTTGGATAATAGAAGAAGATAACATAGCAGCAATTTGTTGTTCCACTTCAGTTTTTTGGTTATGAGGAAATCTGTATGGTCTCAAATTAATGGGACTAGATCCATGTTTGAGAGGAATAGCATGATCATGAGCTCTTCTAGGTGGTAACCCCTTAGGTTCATCAAAAATAGAGTTGTACTTCTTTAAAAGAGGTTTAAGAACTTGAGGAATGGTTTTAGGAGTCTCAGTCATACTCAGTAAAACCACATGTCCCAAAATAGGTGTATCTGAAGCTGTCATTTTTAGTAAGGTAGCACCTGAAATCTGCTGCAAAAGCAGTGAAGGTTGCTACCCTTGTATAACAATATTCTCCCCTTGATGTTTAAAGCTCATTGTCATCTGATTAAAGTCCATCAGAATTGGACTAAATAATTTCATCCAATCCACCCCTAACACCATATCACTTCCTCCCAATTTAAGAAGTCTGAAATCATGTATGAAAGAGTGTCCTTGCATCTGCCATTCTACTTTGTTGCATCTAGCTGAACTAAATAGCTGTTGACCATTAGCTACTGTAATAGCCAAAGGGTATGGAGTTAGGACTTGAATGCCAGCATCAGCCCATTGAGGTGTCAAAAAACTGTGTGTACTGCCACTGTCAATCAGTATGTTCAAGGGTTTGCCTTGAATTGTTCCTTGAATCCTCAAAGTGTTATGACTAATGCACCCAGTGATTGCATTCATAGAAATTTCTAAGCTTTCCTCTTCTTGCATGATCTGTTGGTCTGAGTCAGGAGGAACAGATTCTGTAGGTATAGGACTTTCCTCTTCAATCATCATATTAAAGTTTCTTGTTTTACATTGATGCCCTGGCTGAAATTTTTCCCCACACTTAAAACAAAGATTATTTTGCCTTCTGTAATCAATAAGATTCTGTTTAGGATTGGAAATTGGTGTGGATTTAGTAGGTAGGGGTACTGAAGTTATTTTGGAATTAATAATGGGGTTTGGGTAGGGTGGGACCTTAAAGGAATGTCTCAACTTTCTGTTTTCAAACTCCACAGATAACTCATGGAGCTTAGCTTGTTTGCATGCTTCAAATAAATTTTTAGGATCTAAAGCTTTTACTCTATGTTTGATGTCTTCTCTCAATCCACTTATGAAAAGTGACACAAAGAAATCCTCACCCAAAGTAGGATTCTGTAATAGCATGTGTGGTTGTAACTCCTCGAACCTTTCTTGATAATCTTCAACAGATCCTTTTTGAGTAAGTTTAGTGAATTCCTCCACAATGTCACAAAAAGACCTGTCACTAAATCTATGGCACAAATCAGCTTCAAACTCATGCCAAGTTACATGATGTTTCTGCATAATATAGCCATCAAACCATATTTATGCTTTTCCTGTAAGATACATAGTAGCCACTTCTACCCTTTGATCTACAGGAACATTGCATAAGGAAAAATACTTGAGACACTTCTGAAGCCATCCCCTAGGATTTACCCCCTCAAAAAATGGCAACTCTATTTTGGGTCTATGCCACATAGTTCCCGAGCTGCTAAATGACCCCCCCTGTTCCCCTGTTTTCAGTTTCCAGTCCCAGCATAACAGGTCTAATATTACTATTTTCACCCATTAAATTCTCATGCCTAGAACTGTTCTTAATGGCTAAACAAGCATCAGGCTTATCCTTCAAGATCCCCGGTTCATCAGTTTTATACGAAAATCTTGATTTATCCTTAACTACCGTCACCAAAACAGGATTTTTCTCCCCATTTTTAGAGTTATTAGGAGAGTATACCTGATCCCCTGTAGGCTGCTCTTGTTCACCATTTCTGCCAGTTAAGATCTTCAATATATCTTCCACATAGCTGTGATTCGTGGTCATTCTTGCCTCCAATGCAGTAATCCTATTTTCCTGAGTCTCCCACCATTTAGGTGGATTAGTCTCATTTTGACCTTGTTTCACCAAAGCAGCAAGGTCTTCAATCTATTTCTGAATCTCGGCCAAATCAGCTTCTGCCATCGATTGGTTCTTCTTTGGCATGCCCTCAAATATCTTGCCAGAATCGTAGCTCTTGATACCAATTTGTTATGGTTTTAGGTGAGTAGAAGAGAAATCGAGAAATAGGGAATAAGAATAGAGAAGAATTGAGAGTTTTTAGAGAAGGAAATGGTTGCTCATTCATAACATGAGGAAAAATACATCATCATAGTTTGTTTTATTTAGTTACAATACCATAATCCTAAGGATGCCAGCTGGCAATCCTTTGTAACAGAATCTAACAAATTCTTTCTTTCTCATTTGTTTTGTAGATATGGGCTATTGGGCTGCTCTTGCTGCTTCAGATCCGTTCCACTTCTGATCCGCTCCAAAGGTAACTTGTCTTCATTTCCCTCTCGTGCCATAATTCCCAATCTATCATTCTCAATCCCTAACCCTCATCTCATTTCCCCCAATTCTCCTTCATCCTCTTCACGTTCACGCCCTTCTCCTCCCACCATGGCAGAATGGTAAAAAATATCTTGTTTATATATGCTTTTGTTTCGAATGTTACAAGTGCTCTCTTGCTTCGATCTTACTTCTTTTTTTACTTTACATTACATGATTTATAGCTTTGTGAACCCACTATTTTTGGGTTGATTTAGAGTTCTATTTCGACTGAAACATTGATTTGTTTTGTTGTTTTTTGTCGAATGATTTGTGTTGTTGTTGTTGCTGAAAACGAGGACTCTCCAAGAGTCCTCGGGTTGATCGATGTTTCCCCCTGAACGTTCGGCGCTAAAACCATAACATTTGGCCTATCTGGACGGTTGGATTGGTTCAGATCCAATGGATCTGGTGCTGCGGTGCTGATAGCCAAAAGATGAAACCCTATTTACTGGGTTAAGCAAACTTGGGTCGGGTTGGTTTGCTAGGTTCTTGGCCGGGTCGGCTTGCTGGGTTAGGCTTGGCCGCCCGGTTGGGATCTCTGCTAGACCTCTTGGACCGTTGGACTTGGACCTTGAATTTTGGACCAAAGAAAAAAAATGAAAATAAATAAATAAATAATAAAAAGAAAATGAATAAAATATAATATAATATAATAAATGATATATAATACTATACTATATAATATATAAATAAATTTTTTTAAAAACTACATAATCTATATTTTCAAAATATTTTTAAAAACTATATATTATATATATTTTCAAAATATTTTCAAAAACTATATATTATATATTTTCAAAATATTTTCAAAGACTATATATTATATATATTTTTTTAAATATTTTCAAAAATTATATATTATATATATGTTTTTTAAATTTTATAAAAAAAACTATATATTATATACAATTTATATATACTAAATAAAACTCCATACGAAAATGAGTGATTACACGTACCCTTACCCCTTGGACACGAGTTCAAGTTATCACAGTGACCTAATTCTATATTTTTATCTTTGCATACATGTGATGATGGTCAAATCAATAAATGAGTTCTTGAACTCTCAGGATTTCCCAAAAACTGCCTTAGAATTTTTAAGATCTTATAAAATGGTCCCAAAAATTATTAAATTAAAATCAAATTAAAAGCAACATTAATTGGGATGTTACAAAAACTACCCAATTTAAGGTGTTCTAAACATGCCTTAAAAATGATTGGTGGCGACTCTCAACATTCCATTTTAAAATCTTTTCAAAAAAACCTCATCATTATAATTAGTCGGGTTTTCCTCGAATAGCTGATTGCAACAATAGTAATAACAAAGAAGATGAGAAAGAAAGGAGCAAGTAACGAGTTAGCTAAAAAGTTCATCTTGATCGTAAAATTAATGTCAAAAGGGTAAGAAAAAATTGCATTCGAAACGGTGATTTCAAACCAACTGTAAAAGCTAGGATTTGTAACTTTTTCATTTTCAATTTTACGTTTGTGAGCAAATTATAATTTTACCCTTATTAATGTAAGGGCTCCACTCAATTATTATTCTATTTTTATAATTTAATATTAACATCCTTAAAAATAATTTACTACTAAATAATTTATTTTAATTATTTAAAAGTAAATAAAATTCATGGTTTATATATTAAAATATTAATAGTGATTTAATATAAAATTTTATTATAATTAATGAATTATCTTAAAATATTTTTATTATAGTTTAAGTGATATATTTTATACATCATAGTATTAATAAGTGTAAATATAATTTAAATTTTATATTTCTAATTTACAACATAATGTCTATAATGGACATATTATATTTTCAAACTTACTTTTTAACAACAATCTCAAACAGTTAAATTTTAAACTACACTCCTAAAATGACCCTAAATATTTGATAACATATAATTAAGTCTGGTTAGATTAATTTTGAGTTTAATAAGTATTTAATTCATTTATATCTTTGGATTTGACCCAAAATATATTTCAAGTGTTTTTTAAGTCATAGGAAGCTAGGATTTAAGGTTTGAAAAGTACGTGAAAAACAAATTACAATTTATTGAAATCCAATTTCTTTTAAGGAATGTGATTACTTTGGTTGGATTGTTTAACATTCATCATTGTTTAGATTCGTTGGATAATCCGATGACATTTGTCAAAAATGTTTACAAGTGGTTCAGTTTGAATGTTGGTGCAGAATGATATTGGTGGCATCCACTATTATAATTGCAGCACTTGTCTTGATTTTGTGGTGATTATGTTCTTTGTTTTTTTTCTCTTTTTTGTTTGCCGACTCTTTCAATGCATTTTAAGATTCTCATTTCCACACATTGGTTTTAGGTTCACACACATTGTTTGAAATGTCATCCTTAAATCGATAATACTAAAAGGAACAGCTTAGATCATGAAAATTTGATCAGGATCCATCAAAACAACCACCTCTATTAGAGGTTCTTGATGCAACTTCACACCGATCATACACCCTTTCACCATATTAGCCAACCTGTCTGCTACTGTGTTAGCCTCTCGACATATATGCCTTGTTTGTATTTCTCAATCTCTGTCCATTAATTCCCGAATCAGTGTGACAAACACATTAGCCACCATTACTTGCCTAGAGCTAGTGAGCAAGTAAATAGCCATTACACAATCTGACTCTGTCTCCTGGAATCAGAATTCCAAGTAAGCACCAAGGTATCATGTATAGACTACAACTCCACATTCAAGGCAGAGCACACACCTATACTCTGGGAAAATTAATGATCGATTCACCAGCCGAAACTCTAATAACCCCTCTGGCAGCAACCATTTTTGACAGACCTCTCATGGCTTCATAGGTATTAACTTTAACCCAATCTGTAGTTGGTCTTTGTCACCTTACTTGGTGCCTCTGCAAGTTTATATGACATGCTTCATTCTCACCAACTGCAATAATATCATTTTTAAGCTGAAAGTTTTGGGCCAATAAATCTTCCTTATCAACATAATTCTACTGGAGCAAGATGTTACATCTTCTCTTCCAGATCTTCCAACAAACTATGACGAAAAAGGTTCCCTGGTGTCTCTCATTCAGTGGGAAGCTACCTTGTCCTCTCACATTGGTAAGAATCATTTCCTCAAACGACATTGTGGTAAAATTTGGAATTCATCCGCAGCAATCAATTGGCGCCAGATATTAAAAGCAAACGTGGAACGACGAAATGGCTTACATCTTCAACTTCACTTTGGCACAGTTCGCATCTAGTAGATGAGGTAATATGCCAACAATATCTCTCCTCGTTAGATAACAGTCTCCCATGAAGAGTTAACCAAAGGAACGTTCTAATTCACTGAGGCACATTAAGCTGCCCAAACATCATTTCACCTTATATATTCACCATTTTGTATCGGTAGCAACAAAATTTTATAAGCCGACTTAATCGTAAACTTATAATTTGGCTCCCACCGCCACCCTGGGACATCTTCCTCGAGAGCAGTACTAGGGGAACATGTAACAACAATCCTATGGCAGACGTGCTCATGAATAATTTCCTTTAACCTGTTCCAATCCCAATTAGCTGGTTCTAATCTCAATTACCTGAAGCTGTAACCATGGAGCTGACCGGAGTAGGTTAGTGGTTTGCACCAATTAAACTGTGAGATTAGTGGTTCCGTGCTATCCAACCAAATATCATTTCAAAAATCAGTTCGATTACCATTTCAGACGTTCCAAAAAAAAATGCTATTTTACATATCCATCAAACATAGTTCAAACCTTTCCATTATCAGTTCAACGACTCACATATACTCATTTGATAGTGATCAAACGCTATTTCATATTTATCTTGATATCTCAACATATAAAAAAAGCATCTTACATGACGATACACCCTTGCTTGACGAATGAATCACTTCAAACTTAATTTATGATCCTAAGAAGGTATTATCCTTGTTACAATACCAAGGAAAGGAAAGAGAGGTAGTACTCTCTGAATTTTATTGAATCATAACCCTGTAATATATCAAGAGAGACCAGAGAGCTTTATACAACATGAGAGAGGCTAGTCATGAGGTCAGAGCTGTCTAACAAAAATCCCTAACAATCCGAACAACTTATGACAGCAAGGATGAATGACGCAACAACCTAACCACTCATAACAAGCCTTACACATTCATAACATTCTCCCTACTACCTAGGTCTCTCAAAACTGCAAGAAAGACAAAGCAAGCAGAAAAACAACAAACAAACAGAAACCATAACAAGACTCACACAAGAAGCAAAAGCAGTAAAAACAATTCACACTTATCACGTACGAGTAGTAAGCATACACTGGACACCTAATTTACCCCTACAACGAGTAAAAAACAATCCTAATAAAGGTTTTGTCATGACATCGATAACTTGTTCACATGTAGGAACCTTACCAATTTACAGCTGACCGGATGCAACTTTTTCCCGAAAAAAATCGATCTCAACATGCTCATATTTAGAGTGTAAAACAGTATTCGCAGAAACGACAACAACATTTGAATTATCACACCATAACACATATTTTCCATCAGGAATAATAAAAAGTTCACGAAATAAGGATTCCAGCCAGATTACCTCAGTTGTCGCGCAAGCAACACTGCGATACTCAGCTTCAGCGGTAGATCTAGACACAACTTGTTGCTTTCTTGAAGCCTAAGACACAGGGTTGCCACCAAAATATATGCAAAACCTAGTGATTGACCGAAGATCATCAATATCGGACTCCAATCTGCATCAACAAAACCAACAATGGACAAACGAGTTGACTTAGAAAACTTCAATCCATACTCAAGTGTTCCTTGTAAGTAACACATAATGCGTTTAATAGCAACATAGTGTTCATCGAAGGGTTCATGCAAAAACTGACAACCTATTGATAGCAAATGAAATGTCAAGCCTAGTAATGGTCAAA